CACACACACACACACACACACACACACACACGCACACACACACACACACACACCTTTCGTATCTATACTTTTTTTGTTCTATGGATTGGTTATGAACTTATGATCAATCGTGGATGGAATGAGAGAGAGAATTCGGGGTTTTCAAAACACACACACACACGACAGCAGATGGGTGTGTGGGCACTTAGCGCTTAACCACACAAACATGGCCAACCTTGCATCTTCTACTATATTGCCTATCTAATGCAAAGATGAGCAATAGCGAACTTCAGCAATCAAACAGCATCATACACATGAGACCAGATAGTCGTGACCTCGAACCAAAAGCAGAATGGCATCACGAGTTTCACCAAATAAGAGCACACCAAAAGCTCATAATTGACAATGCTGGAATAGTCTCATCATCATCATCAACGAAGAACCAATGTTGATATCCTATCTGGCGCTCGGCGCCCAGACTACAGATGGCAGATCCTATCTAGCCTACTCTACAATGACGCTGATRACGTCAACAGCTCCCCGAAGTACGAGCAAATCTCGGCCAATGCCGCACGCTTCAAGCACCAGGTATGTCTCTCGTATCRCTCACAACCTCGTTCCCCAACTCACAGATGCCACTTGCACCCAAGGACCACCATGCGCCCCATCCAGCATACAGCAGCGCAGCTCCGCTATGGCTGCCTGCTCCTTCCAGCTCACCCGTGAGCGTGTGAGCCTGGCAGGCGATAGCGCAGCAGCGCTTGCGCACAAAGCAGCCAGTGCCCGAATGCCGGATGCGTAGGCTGGCCCTTTCCTGCCCAGAAGCTTCCGATAGGCCCAGGGAGGCTGAGCCTCAGACCAAACGAATCAGGCCCAGGGCCACCGACAGTTACCCGGGCCCAACTGCCCGCTGTCTGAGTTGGGTCTATGCTGCGTATCTCGCCGCAGGGCCTGACTTAGATACAGTCGATACAGGAGGCCAGGGCCTGGGCGCCTTCAACCAACTGGCTCTGCGCAACTGCCTGAATTTTCCCCAGTTGCGGAGTAGTCAAAAATAGGCCTCTTGTCGTCTGTCGGGCCTGCCTTCACTTAGGGCGGCTGACCTGTTGCAAGTAGGGGCCCAGTAGGGCTTATCGAGGCCTATGCCTCACATTAATATCTATACCGTTTTTTGTTTCATGGGTGGTTCCTGATGATTTGTGGATGGAATGGAAGAGAGATTTTTTTGTTTTTTTTTAACACACGTTGTGGTCTTGCTAGCTCTCTGTCCTGGCAGATTTGAGCAGTTAGGATCGGGCATGTACTAGCGAGCTATTCGTCTTTTGTGGTTGGATGTTCTGTTGGTTGTTCTGTTTATTATACATGGCCTAATTCTTTGCCCTGCTTAGGTGGAGCATGGGCTGTTTCTTTGATGAAGGAATGTCTGTGGTGGCCGCGATGTTCTCTTGAGATGGTTATGTTAGGAGTTTTGGCCACGGAATCTTCAAGAGGAGGCTCGGAGAGTGTCTGCTGTCGGTGTCATCCCCACAGGCTGCCCTTTTGGAGCACATGGAAGAAATGGGCTCTTCTAGGGTGTTTTAAGCAGTTGCGCTCCTGGTGTTGTGTGGAGATTTCGTGCAGTTTGGGATTATGGCACTCTATACACTCCAGGATAACAACAGCAGAGTGAAAAAGGGGGGTTGTCTGGCCATGGAGTGATAGAGATGACCGTGAAGTGAGTGTTAGCGCATTTGTACTTGTGCGTTTAATCTTGTGGTTCTGTGGACTGACTCAGACAGCTCTTCAAGTTTTTTCCGATGTGGTCAGTGCGTTCTTGTTGGTGGAGCCTTCTGTGTCGAGTATGTTGCCTTTTGCCCTCCATCCTTTAATGGACTATACATATATTTACATATACACAGGGTTACCGTGCAATCAGACTCGACTTATTCACACTTTTCATGCATGTGAACAGCAGAACAACAAACTGGCGCCATGCGCCCACACAGAACTCAGAGATATGGCTTCCAGGTAACAGTTCGCTTCCTCTGGCTATGGCGACTGTGCGCCTCCAACACCTCACTGTTCACACTCTGGATCACCCTGGATATCCCACACGCGACACTCAGCACACACACACAGTACATACACACTTCCCCTAAGCTACAGCTATGGCGGCTATGGCCGCCGCTACCCTACTGCTATGGCTACGGTATGTCACTCT